ACACACACACACACAGAAATACAGTTGTACGCAATCATGCATGCACACACGTCAATAAAAGGAATGACACTGTAGAGCAGAGAGCAGGTACCAAAGTGTACACCAGGACTCCAGACAAAAACAAATATGTAACTAACAAAACACAAATACAAGAGGTCCACTGTATTGGGTTCTGTAAGTGGCTAGAATAAATAAAAACGTATCCAGCTGGTAATATTAAATACTACTGCACACCCAGGTCTCGAGTCAGGAAAAATACCTCATTATCTAATCAGCTTTAGGAATACATAGAAAGGGCAAAGCTAACTGGTCTCCCCTTTTCTTGACAAAAGAATCAGATCTTGCCTGTAGTATACAATTAGTGAACAGTGTGACCTCTGAGGGTTAGGACTCTTCTTGAGAAAAGGCTGTGTGGTCCACGCTAATAACCAGAATTCTCTGTGAAGGAGCAACCATTGTGCCCCTTCTCTGACTCTGGCTATCGTAAACTAATACCCACTGTTGAGAAAGGAGATGAGACTCATTTTCCTTCCTATTATAGAGCATCATAGTGGTACTCCGGGCTTGTAGGACATTGGCTGGTCAAAGTGCCGCTTAAAGAGGGGAGAGCTGGTGTGTAACCAAGCCTGATCACTCAGTATCAGCTGTTGTGGTCCCAGCAGCTCAGATGCTGGGAAACAGAAAGTGCATATTCTGAGTCTGTAACACATAGTGTGAGTTTCTGCCTGTACTCTGGTCATCTCTATATTTTGGTGCTTAGTTGATCATTCTGTCAGCTAAAAACTCCTCCGCAGATGGGACATAACACGAGAAGATTAAGTCTTAGCCACCCACGATTCCTCTCTGCTGCAACACACAACACAATCAAACACACATGGTAAAACAGCTAAATGCACACTTAACTGTTTTTTTTTGTTTCTTTTTTACATTTATGGAGAATTCTGTTTTAACCTCAATATAAGCTTTGATGGGTACCCAGATTTAAACAAGGCAACAAGCCTCTAACCACCTCTTTGCTCTCGCAGGTAAAAGCTGCCCAAGTCCTTCCTTTTTTGGAGCTGACTGTAAACTAATTGTAAGGACTCTCTCAAACAGGACACCGTACACTAGAGCCTCTATATCTACATACTACACAAAACATGTACAGAGCACCATCCAAGGTGTATATGGCAGAGTAATGTGCCCACAAAACACAGAATGGATTAATGTTCACCTGAAACCTATAAAATGCAACAGTGGTTCTGAACCATCCTGGCTTGTGACCCTTTAAAATGAACCAATGCCTGCTTGCACATCATCACTGGTGTTCTTAATGCAGAAAGGTAAGTAGTTTCTAAAGCATGGTTTAACTTTTCAGATTGTACAATTTGATGTAAAAGATCAAAAAAGAAAAAGAAATATCAAATCAACGTCAGAAAATAGTTGTGATGGAATAAGCTGTATTTTTGTCTCTCTCTGTTTTCCAGCTCTGCAACTGAACCATCCCGGCCTCTGGATAGCGCTCTGCAGCTCCGTCACACACTCATGGAGACTGCTTACAGATCTCCACCGGCTACAGAGAGAGATAATAGGCGGCTGTCAGTTACGCCCCTCTGTCCTCATCTCCCCTAATCAGCTCCCCCATCTTATGGAGTCGCATGGGTGTTGGAGTTTCACATAGGACTAAGTTTGACAGTCACGTTCCATCTTAACTCTGTCGCGAAGATTTAAAGCACATAGGTGGGCAGATGAAAGATACCCCTTATATGCATGAAAGAGATCAAATTGGGATTAAGGAGATTAATTTCAGATGGTAATTGAGAAACTTTTTCATCAGATTTATCTAACTTTCTAAAAGATGTCAAATGTGGTGTGATTTAATTTGCTAACAGATGAATGGTTGGTAAATTGCTATGCTTCAGGCTTGTGTCCCTTTGGCTGGTGTAAAATCATATATCGTCAAATTTCATGACTTGTGAAGATCTGACTCATTTCTCAGCTTCCTCTGGGGTTAAAAAATAATTACTAGTTTTGAAACACAAATTCAGACTGAAACTAATTCAATTTGTGAGCATGGCTGGAGGGTGACTCTGAGTGGTATATAAACGTGGTAGCGAGGCTTCAATCAGACTGCAAGCATGGGGGAACAATCACCCTTTAGAGATGACAAAATGACCTTGGAAATCACACAGTTCAGACTCGTATGGGAACATGAATTCAAATCATGATATTCACCTTACAGTCTGGTGCTGCTGGATACAGTGGTGCCAGAATGAGTTTTCCAAGTGTGTGTGTGGGAGGGTGATGATACGCTAGTGAACTTTTCCATGTCAACTTCCTTTCAATCTCACCATCCTACAGTGTTTGTACAACTAAATATGATGAGGAATCAGTGGGTTCAATATAACTAGGAAAGCCATCCATCCTCTGGATGCCCCTCGGCCTCTAGTTTGTGGTTGTACAGTTTCATAACCTAAAGGTTGATCACTGGTCATGTTATACAGTCAGGTCA